CACCATGGGCAACACCCCCACCATGGAAAACCCCAACACCATGGGCAACCCCAACACCATGGGCAACACCCCCACCATGGAAAACCCCAACACCATGGGCAACCCCCCCCTCCCCAGGCAACCACCTCAACACAAGCAACACCCCCACCTTGGGGAAACCCCCAACCATGGTGGTGGCCCTTACACTGGTGGTGTAGGTGGCTTCAGGGTCATCTTCCAAGACTCTGGAGAGCCCAAAATCAGACACTTTGCACACCAAGTTGCTGTTCACCAAGATGTTCCGGGCGGCCAGATCCCGATGGACGTAATTCATGTTGGCCAAGTACTTCATGCCGGCAGCGATGCCCCTCAACATCCCCACCAGCTGGATGACACCAAATTCCCCTTCTTTTTCCTGGGAAAAGGGGAGAATCCAGCTTTGGATCTGCTCTAGGACCCATCTTTTGTCCCACCTCTGGTGGTGGGTGTTGGTGGACACGTTGTCACCAGGTGTCACCCACCCTCAGGAACTTATCCAGCGCCCCGTTCTCCATGTACTCTGTGATGATCATGAAGGGCTTGGCTGGGAGAGGAAAGAAAAAGACCCCAAATGGGTAAAAAAAACCCAAACGGAACCCCCAAACCCCCTTCCCCCCAAAAATACCAACCCCAAAATGTCACCACCCCAAACCCAAGAAAAAACAACACCCACCCCCAAATAACCCCTCAAAACCCTTCAAAGAACCCCAACCCCTCCCAAAAAATCAACCCCCCCAAGGAAAAAACCCAAATCCCCAAAATACAAAAAACCCCAAAAGCCCCCAAGTCCCCCCCCAAAAACCTCCAACTCCTCCAAACCTCCCAACGCTCCCCAAAATCCAACCCCAAAAAACTCCCAAATACCCTGAACTCTCCCCAAAAACCCACCTCAATACTCCCCCAAAACAAACAACCCCCCGAACCCCCAACCCCACCCAAAAGCCCAACCCCCCCAAAAAACCCACCCTCAACCCCCCTAACAGCCCCTATTTTCCCCAAAACTCTCC